TAAAATTTAGCAAATGGAGATGTTCTTAAGTTGGATTGTTCTTAAGTAGGGACATTCTTAAGTAGAGACCCCACTGTACTCTTGCTCAAATTGAAAACAATATAGTAAACAATGATATGGAATAGCTTTGTCTTATCATGTGATCATCAAGTGATACTGGCTAATATCCCTGGGTTGAACACTAGAATATGTTAAGGCATAGTACTGACAAGGTCTTGATTCATTTTGTGAAGATCACCTGAAACTGTTCATACCTGTCCTGTTAGGTAGCCTTCATTCTTCTCTTGTTCAAAGAGATAAGCTGCATAGCCGACATTGTCACTACTTGTAAGGCAGTTGGTTCTGTTCATACTGACTGGGTGAACAGCAAACCAGCTAGGAAAAATCAAACAGTAAGAACTGTGTTGACTTATAAGGGTATAATTTGACACCTGAAAGTAAGCACTGTTTTCATCTGTGGTATTTACTGGTACTTCTCGACAGACATGTACAGAATTGTTCTATTGATAGACAGCTTGATTTAATAGTATTTACACATTGAAATTATTCAATCCAGTCCACACCCTTGTCATTTCAGTGGCAGGCAATTGAGCACTGAAATCAATAGTGTTAAGTAAGTTTAACATTCAAATATTTGATTTAATTGGGTCGTGATATGGGCTAAGCATTCATTTTGTGATACCGATCAAAATAATGTGGACATACTTCCTCAGGCCTGTTCTCTTTCTTCCTTTATTCAGGTATCTAAACTTGTGTTATACAGATCTCTAAAGGCAATGATTCGATTTCTATTTTACATTGATATTCCATACTTTTTCCACAAGTTCCTGGCAGTTTCTTAGAACCAAATTATATGTGATGCCAAATATACAGTACCACATATAATTGCAGGAATGGTTTGGTTTGGTTCTGAATGGCAAATAGTAGACATGTGAGTTGGGTGGTTATTAGAGATGGGCAGGAACCTCTGAAATGAGGTTTGTGCTCATCTCTAGTGGTTATGATTAGAATTAGGATCATAGTATGTTGGAAGGTTTTTAAAAAATGACAAAATCTCCCCTCATCCCTTGCCATTGGATCATGAGGAAAACATCCCTTTGAGTGTCAATGGGAGTCTCTGTCCTGACGTTTATAACAGTTGGGTGTGTGCGCTTTTGATCAAGACCATAGGAAGCCAGAAGACTGTTGACCCAACCTTGTTATGGTCTACATACATATTTTATGATGGTGTACAAATTATGTACAAAATCATGTGCAGCTTGGCCTTTAATCTCATAATGAACCTGTACATTAGGGTCAGGCTGAAAAAATAGTAACTTTCCTAGATCCACCCAAGAGCTGAGAGAGGAGGTGAACCTGATGAGTTCCTGTAAAGAATCCTAATACTCTAACCCAAGGACAGGCTAACTCCTCATATCACAGCAACTTGTCTCTACACATGGTAGAGTTAACCAGTGTCTGAGGTGGTATATTGGATTCTGCTACTTCTGACTGCTGATGATGGATCACAGTTTTGAATATTCCTGATATGAAAAGTGCCCATGAGCAAAAAACTAGTACAACAGGCAAAGAGCTTGGCTAAAAGTTTTCTCCCTGGCATGCAAATTATTAACTTACAGGATGTTCTTTTCAGTCTTACATGAGGAACATTTAAAACTAGCACTCCCCATCTGCAGTATGAAGTGGAAAATGACTTAATACTTTTAGAGCCACTTTACATTTTTATTAATTCAAGAAATTCAAACTCTTGGTGAAATGAGATGTCAAGGAAAATGCTTATTCCCTATAATTAACTAAGTACTCCTCCAGCAGTGGGGTTTCCTTGGCATATGTGCCTCAGCAATTGCCACCATAGCATACACTGGTGTTTGCCTTTCAAATACCAATCTTAAAACAAAGCATGTTAAGTGCAAAAAAATGGAAATAAGGACAAAAGTGTGAATGTTTTGACAAACAGGTCTTTTGCCTCTTGAGGGATCCATGCTTCCAGAAACATGCCAAGGGTCTCATCTAGCTTGACCCTGAGTTTTCTGTTCAACACAGTCTCTGTTGACCTGTTTGTTTGCTTGTTTTTGATTTAAATGTTGTGGCCCAAAGCATACTTATTCTTCTCTGTTTGCAATATCACAGCATGTGCTTTTGTTGATGTCCTTGAGCTACCTTGAGCCCCATTTCTGTGAGACAGGTCAGAGAAGGAAGGAAGGAAGGAAGGAAGGAAGGAAGGAAGGAAGGAAGGAAGGAAGGAAGGAAGGAAGGAAGGAAGGAAGGAAGAGTTTCACTGTGTAGGCTATTCCTTGCCACCTTCTCCTCACCTCAAAACAAATCAGCACACTCATTTTTCAATTATCTCCTTGTTTCTGTTAACACACCTGCTAATCTGTGTTAATGTTCATCTCTCAGCTACCCTGATTTTTTCTATAAAACAGAAAGAACAATGCATCTGGATATGGTGGGATATCCTCCTCCACCTTTAATAGTTGTAGTTTTGGAAGACGTAGGCATGTTAGTCTCAAGCAAAATCCAAAGAAACAAAGCAACAAAAAAGACAAAACACGTGGCATCTTGTAGACTATTACAGTATATTCTAATGTGAACTTTTGTGAACATGTTCACTTTGTCTTTTTGTTTCTTTGGATTTTGTCTGATATGCTTGCACAGACTAACACAGCTGTGTCTTCCAAAACTACAACTCTGAAAGGCACTGTATTTAGCCAAATAGAATGGAGATCCATCAATGTCATGAATACACTCCCCTCTTTAATGGCATCTTGAGAATTCCTACCTTAACATCCCAATGTCTTGACCATTATCAGCAACCATCTTCAGCAATACCATTTCTTTGTCTACATTTGAAGAATACCTGAGCAGTGTATGGGAGGGAAAAGTAGAATCAGCTTTCACCATGGGAATAATGACATAGCTGCCTAGCTGGAAACAGATGCATAGAAGAAGAGCCACAATGGAGGCAATGCAGTGGGGATTTCTCACAGAACACACCATTTCAGTTATTGGGGGGGGGTACGGAAGACCATGACTGTATGGTTGCACAGAATGCAGGGGGCAGAGGTAGACATTGCCAAGCAACTGCCTGGACTCAGTACAGGGCTCATGATCAACCCCTTTAACCTCCTAGAGTTGCTGGTCCTCCTTCCAAATACAGTGAAAGCAGTTTGTATGGCATGCCTCATCATTTCCATCAATATGTATTAGCTTCTGAGGGAAAGGCAAGTAAATGGATAGCAGAAGCAGTGTGAGGAAAAAGAGATGCATGGTGCATCACTACTGAAAGCAATTGCCCACCTGCCCAGTATGAAACTAGCACCAGCTGCTCTGTGTCCACATCATTAATCCAGTGTGTACAAGGCAACATCCTGCCAGATCATGCCAAATGACATCAGTGCAACCTCCCGTTGAGCATCCAGGGCCAAACTGCAGCAAGGGCCCTTCATGCTACCATGGTCTCTTCAATCATTCTATTATGTCAAAAGGGGGCTATGAAAAATCAGGTGAAATAATTGCATGTTACTCCTTGTCCGAAGTGCAGATCAGCTTGTTCAGATGCCTTCTGTTATGCTCTTTGTTATCACCGATCTCCTGAGGAAAGGTCTGACTAGCTTGCTGTTATTCACAGCTTTTAGATTTGAGATCTGAAAAAAAAGGGGTCTGTTCTGTGTATGCAGCCCAAGCTGATGTACTGGGGCAGAGAACATGCTGCATGTCATATTTCCCATCCACCTCAAAAAACAACCTTTCCCAACCTGGCTTCCTCTATGGATGATGAAATGCAATGCCTATAACTCCATGCAAATAACAGGAACTGTAACCAGCACTTAAAGAAGACGCCAAGTTGGTGAATGCTATCTAAATAGCAGTGGAAAGCTCACGGTGGGGAGAAACTGAAAAACAACTCCAATGTTTACTGCATTAACACCTGTGCTATCAGGAATTCTAACACCAAACCAATGTGAATCTATGTTCTTGTTGAGAAATCTAAATTCCTCTGTTCATGATAAGGATAACAAGCATATGATAAATATATCATAGTTCAGTACGTAACATTGCAAGAGCATTCATAAGGCCTAAAGTCTGGGTCTTGGCTAGATTATAATTTTTCTTTTTTCGTTTACCTGCTCCTTTCTGAGTCTGGATTCTGAAGATAAGAAAAGGGACTTCGGTTAATCTGACTGTTTTCTACCGAACCTTTGTTGATAAAAATTCGCCCTTTGATCATATTTTGATGAGCAATGTCAATACTCTGAAAATCAGAAAACATGAAAAAAAAATCAGCAGCTCCAAAACCAGAAACATCTCAAATCACTCTTATAGGCCTGTTTAGGAATAAAGATTTTTTTTCGACTGTGTATATTTGCATGGAAGCAGGTCTCATTGAGTTCAGTGATGCTTACTTTCAGATCCAACAAATACAAATCATACATTTGTTTATTGAAATAGCAGATTTTAGGGTGAGCAAATTGGAAATAATGCACAAATTTCCAAACACACCATTTGAAATTTTTCCTTTGGCCATGCTTTCCTTAAGGAATGAATGCATAGCTTTGGCTATCTTTTCTCCATCAGCCATTGAACATATACTGTAGTACTGAAAATTAAGGAATGGCATGAGAGTTATATAAAACCCTAAAAACAAATCTTCCCATTCAGCTTAAGTTTCCCCATATTCTTACAGTGGTGCCTCACAAGACGATGTTAATTTGTTCCGCGAAAATTGCTGTTAAGCGAAAACGTCGTCTTGCGAAACACATTTTCCCATTGAAATGCATTGAAAACCTGATAATCCGTTCCAATGGGAACGGATTGTCATTGTAAAATGAAAATTGTCATAGGAAACATCGTTAAGCGAAATGCGGTTCCCAAGCGAAGACAGCCATCTAACGAAACAGAGACCATTAAAAGACTCGTATAGCGAAGCACGACCAAGCTGTCAAAAACATCGTAAAATGAAAACCAGGGACCTAAAATTTAACCGTCTTGCGAGGCAAGGTCCCTAACATCGTAAAGCAAAAATCGCCCATAGGAAACATCGTTAAAGTGCAAGATCGCTCCGAAAACCTCGTTGTAAAGCGAATTCATCGTTATGCGAAGCAATCATCTTGCGAGGCACCACTGTATTGTCATGTGAGTTTCTCATGAGGTAGCAAACATCATCATCATCATCATCATCATAAACCTTTATTGGCATTAAAAGGGAAAAAAAAGGAGTATGTGTACATCAGTAACAGTTGGCGCCTTACTATTGCAAACAGAAGGGAAACAATCCTGAAAGTATGAACTAGAAAGGTTATACAAGAGGGGATTGGGGAAGGGGTTTAGGCTTAGAGACCGCTAGTAGAAAATCCGCTACCAAGCTGGAGATGGTCGCCGAGTAGTCACTTAGAAGGATAGGAAGAGGGTCAGCAAATGAAACAAGGAGAGAAGACAGAAGGGGTTCGAGGATATTGTTTCGTAGGTATTAGTGAGCCGGGCAACGGAGTAATATGTGATCTAGAGAATCTGGCTCAGATGAGCAAGAGGAACAGAGTCTGTTATTGCGTGGTATGTTAGCAAATCTGCCAAAATGAGCAGCTGATGGAAAGATGTTTAGCCTTGCTAACATAAATGCTCTCCTTTTACTGGGATTAATTAATTTACTGAAATAATTGGAGGGTCTACCAAGAGAGGGAGAGAGACCGAAGAAGTGAGGGGAACAAATAGGATTTAAATTAGGGAGTAATAGGTTGAGTTCCTGTTGCCAGAGTTTGGATTTGATAATTTGGTAGGCTCTATAAAGGTTTATGTCTGAGAGGGATTCAGGGGAGAGGTCCAGAGATTCAAGCTTGGCATCAAGAAGTTTAATCTTTTAATAGGTCATTGAGTATGGAGTCTGGGTGAATACTGAGGTGCAGTCTAAGCCAAAACCTGAAGGTTAGGGACCAAGCGGTGGTAGAAGGGAGATGAATGCCTAATTCAAGTATCAGTGTGGACAATCTAATTAAGTTAGGGACCCCAAAAATCCTTCTGAGGAAGGGGGCCGCTACTTTGTCAAGGTCTTGATTTGCAGCCTCAATCCAGATTGGGGCTCCATATAACAGCTGGGAAAGGATTTTAATTTGAAATATATGGAGAGCAGCGGGGATGTACTGGTTGCCGCTGCTGAAGTGGAATCGGGCAATTGCGTTTAAGTGTGGCAAGGCTAAGGAAATGGCCGATTTACGGTGGTGGGTCCAGCTATGTCGAAAGTGGAAAGTGATCTCATGAGGTAGCAAACATAAGCAAGGCAGTTCAAAGCATAGGTTGAGCTTGCTCTTACCGTCATGATTCCATTGACAACAGTGGTAAAAGATGGCTTTATGAATCCCCTGCATGTTATGATAAAAATGGTGTACTGAAAGTAGCCACCAGGCCCTGAATGGGTATGAGTTGCACTCAGGATAACATTGTCTTCCCTGTAAAGATCTCCATATTTGTGCTTCAGTTGTTGTATTACCTAAGAAGAAGAAGGTGGCAATTATTAGAACTACGCATCAAGTTCTGTCTGTGATTATGTTCAGACTGCAGTTGGGTCTAATCAGACCCAGCTAAAACCAAAAAACTGAATCAAATTTTGGGATTCCAGATTTTGACACTTCCTTCTTACATAAAGAAATCAAGATGGCCACCTTTTTTCCTTCTTTTCCCCCACAAACAAAAGTAAACCAATTTAGCAAAATAGCAGCCCTTCCAGAGGACACTAACCCTGGTTTTATTCCAGCCACTTTTAAAGTCTGTTTGACTATGTTTAAAGGCTGTTAATATATACTGTATGTACTGGTTTTCTGCACTGTTCTGGAACCTGTGACCTCCATGTGCTGCTTCATTACTAAGACCAACTCTGAATACGGAATTAAGACACATACATGTTTATATGGTTAAGACTTAGAGTGGGAGTATTAGGGTTTACACTACACTACTGATTAGCCCCACGATATGCACAGGAGTTTTTCACTGCAATTTGAAAATCATGTGACAGTCACATGGCATATGATTCGCTGTCTGCATCTCCTTGAGATAGTGATTAAGGCATTGCCTTTTTGTACAGCTCCTCTTGGGAACACTTATAATATGAGTTAAATTGTATTGTAAGGGGCTATACAGGCTTTTAAAATTGTTTCATTTGAGGCTTGCCTGCTCTGCTCTCATGCTGGCCACTCACCCCCAACTGCTGTGGTGAGGTGAGGGCCGGAGAGAGAGAGGGCTAAGCTGCTTGTCCTAGTGGCTTCTGTCCTTTCAGAATGCTCCAGCTGTTGCCTTTCTCCAACAGAGAAATGAGAGGTGCCTGGCTGTTTGGTGGTGCAAAAACACTGATCCAAGCATGAATTTTAACATAGGATCATATCCAAAACACTGTCCAGTCTGTGGGCAGAGATGGTTCCTATGACTGAGATTGTTTGAGGGATAATCCTACATAAAAATCATGTGGATCCATGAAGATCTGTGCCTATGATCCATTTTTTGCTCAAAGAGCTTTTCACTCCTCCAGCCCTGTGCTGGACTGGTCCGTCCGTCCGTCCGTCCGTCCGTCCGTCCGTCCGTCCGTCCGTCCGTCCGTCCGTCCGTCCGTCCGTCCGTCCGTCCGTCCGTCCGTCCGTCCGTCCGTCCGTCCGTCCGTCCGTCCGTCCGTCCGTCCGTCCGTCCGTCCGTCCGTCCGTCCGTCCGTCCGTCCGTCCGTCCGTCCGTCCGTCCGTCCGTCCGTCCGTCCGTCCGTCCGTCCGTCCGTCAAAGAGGTGGGTGTGGTTAGGCAGGGAGGGAGGGCAAGTGAGGGGACAAGGCAGCAAGGAGCAGGGTGGCAAAGGGCCATCAGGCTGGGAGCAATTCATGATGGGAGATCACGGCACATTGGGCAATTCAAGGCATTAGACTGTGATTCAGCCCCGAGCTAAATTGAAGACCCTGCCAGAAGGAGGTTCGATGTTGCGCTTCTGAACAGAAGAACATGAGTCGGGGGGGGGGATGACTAGTTCCACTGTGCATCATGTGATCAACTTTCTAAACATTGATGCAATTGCAGCTAAACATGGTTCATATGCCAGTTCTTTTACTAGTCTAATCAGGACCATCACTGAATGAATATAGAGTCAGTCTGACCATATGAATCAATCTGCTGGATCAAGAGTGTCTATAGTGTATTTTCTGGGGTAGGGAAGCTGTGTATTGGCATGTTAGTATAATCCATGCACATGGTGTGTATCATTACAACACAGTGGGTCTCTGTTTATAATAAACAATAAAGAATACCAGGATTCTCAAGGAGCAAGTTATCCCAGCCTTCCCCTCCCAAGGAATACCTGTTATAGAGGGTGGTGATTTTATATATAAAATTATATATATAATTTTATTTTTTGCTTTTCATCCTATCTGTTACTATTGTCTATGGAGTTAAAGAGAAAGATACAAAACTTGTATCTAACAATTGCGTGGAATGCACTCACAAATGCTAACAATTGTGTGAACTGGATCTAGTAAACTGGTGCCAGCTGAGAAGAGTGCAGGAAAGCCTTTGGGCTTTCCTCTGTGTGAAACAAGGGAACGTCTAAAGGGGCAGCTGAAGGGGCAATTGCAAATGAGATTGGCACCACTGATTGTCACCCCTGGAAGTGCCACAGGTTCTGCCTTTAATTCTTAGAGTACGAGTTGATCGGTGAACAAGATGAGTGCCTTATTTTAAAGTGGGAACCTTTCAAGTTCAATTGAAAACAAGGAAACAAAGGCACTTGGTTTTATAGATGCAAGATAACTCTCTTTTTTTGCTTGCGGCAGCAAATTTAACAGCAGTGTCTCCCTCCCTCCTTCCCCCCTCTGTGTGTGCATGTTTGTGGTGGGGAGGGGATCCCTAGGACAAATGGGGAACTGTTCCACCTCACGCTCAGACTATTCTCCCAGCCAGTTATTTCTGCCTGTCTCTCGGCCCCAGGCAGTCAGGGCTCCATCTGTGTTCCCCTCCTGTTGAACTCCAGCCAGATTACACTTTGTGAATATCTACTTTTAAAGGTAAAGGTTCCCCATGACATTTTAGTCAGTCGTGTTCGACTCTAGGGGGGCGATGCTCATCCCTGTTCCCAAGCCGTAGAGCCAGCGTTTGTCCAAAGACAGTTTCTGTTGTCACGTGGCCAGTGCAGCTATACACGGAACGCTGTTTACCTTCCCCCTGAGGTGGCACCTATTTATCTACTCGCATTTACATGCTTTCGAACTGCTAGGTTGGCAAGGAGCTGGGACAAAGTGACGGGAGCTCACTCCGTCGCGTGGATTTGATCTTATGACTGCTGGTCTTCTGACTCTACAGCCCACAAAGGCCTCTGCAGTTTAGCCCGCAGCGCCACCACGTCCCTGTATCTACTTTTATCCCTGGCAAAGAGCCTGCCCACCATTGGTTGGTGTGCCTTCCATTTCATCATCAGCTACTGAGTGCAGAGGGTGCTCATGCAGCCCCTTAGCCCCTCATTTTAAGCCAGCCCAGATTTGAATGATGTGTCTTTCATAAAGAAAGTGAGATCTGCCATTTCTTTATGAGATATAGTTGTTTTCTTAATGGAAAGGACATACAGTAACACTTATCCTACTGCTGAATTATCCATGCTTTCAATTTCTGTGAGTTCAGAGCTTTACATTGCCTTTCTCCCTCACTGCCTTTTGTTTGTTACTTTATCATATGTTAATTGTTGGGTTTTTACAATGTATGCTGTAACCATAAGATCATAACAAAACATCACTGAATGTTATGATGACATGATTCCTAAACCTAGGATCCCAAGAGCTATATTCTGCATATCTGCACTCCCTCCCTCTCTGTGGAAGAACACACACTCCTGAGATGTGTATAACAACCATGAAACATTGTAAGCTTTAGCTGTGGTCCAGTTTGGTGTAATAGACAAGAATGACAGGCTACGACTCAGGAAATGGGGTTCAAATCCCCATTGACTATGGAAGCTCAAGGGGAGTGGACGTCAGTGGCAGAAACCATTCTTTAAATATCTCACATACCTTAGGTTTGTTAGAAGTGGTTTAGGTATCCCCACTGCACCTCCTGCAAGCAGAGCCAGCTGGTGTGGCCTTGGAAAAGCTGCACAGCCCCAGGGTGACCCCCACCCACCAGAATAAGGGAATGATAAATCATTTCTGAGTACTCTCTACCTGAAAACCCTGAAAAGGGTCACCATAAGCCAGAATTGACTTGATGGCAATTGGTGATGATTACAAGTCAGATGTAACTTGACAGTATGCGATGACAACAACGTATAATAGAAAGTTGTACTGATTTTGTGCTACTACCTAAATATACTGAAACAAAACGATAACAAAAAGTCAGAACTCTTGGAATCGAACAGGTTTGGGGATAACGTACAATTTTTAAAAAAGAGAAAAGACACCTACCATTTCCCCTACTTACCTCTAACCTAACTCTCTGAGACATCATTCCTAACTCGGCAGTCACAAACACCACTCGGTTGGTTGAATTGTTGGGCTCTGCAAAAATGAATGCTCTGGCGTACTGTCGTGAGATGATACCAGTGCCAATCTGATCTGGATTGGCATAGCCCATCTATAGTGGAACACAGCATTTCATTAATTATACATTTAGCACAATCTTATCCATGGTTACTCAAAACTGCTGTATAGTTCACTATGTTCAGTGTAGGAATGTGGGAGAGGAATCTGCCTTTTTGTGACCCACTCCTTTTCAAATATTTTACCTATAATTCCATTCACTTCCTATCCTTTCCTATCCTGGTGCCTTACACACTTCTTGGTCTACATTTGTGTCCATCCTTTGTGGATTGTATTCATATTTTCTGAATATTTTCCTTAATGAGCTCATGAAAGTTCCTATGTATTTTCAAGTGAATTTTTTGCATATTAAAATTTCTGCACATTTTGTTACACAATTTCCTATAATATACACATTGCTTGTAAGCTTTTTCCCCCGATGTATGCCTTTTAAAAATATGTCATATCTGCAGTGTACCACAGTTTCTACTAATGTATTTTTTTTGTGTATGCATTTAAAAAATCTCAGTTGTAAAATTCAGAAAAGTACAAAAGCAGAAGTCTTACTATGTTCTGGAGCCTGCATTAATTCAGGAAGTGAAGATTATGTTAGTCCAATGTAGAAGATTCATTATACATTTTGGGCCTAAGTCTCCCCTTTGCCTGTTTACATAATGTACAAAATGTGCCTGTTTATTTCTGTTCCAAATTCTCAAGCAAGTGTTGATAGCTAATCTGAACATAACAGTTGCTTGAAAACAACACTCACCCACACAAACACACCACTTTTTAATATTGTCCTTTTTGTCTCAGTGGATGAAAGCTTGTGGTTCACTACTAAATAATTGCTTTGCATTTTAAAAAATGAATATGATATCAATTTCACTTTCATTACATAATCTTTGTGGGATAGTTATATTTTGCCATGGACTGTAACTGATAATAAATTCAATGAAATGTGGTAGAGTACTGTTACAGAGCAGGTACGTAGATAAGTAAATATGTACACTGTGCAGAGTAGGATCCTAGCCTATAAAAATATCATATTTTTCCGTGTATAAAATGACACTTTTCCTTAAAATCATTAGAGGAAAAATTAAGGGTAGTTTTGTACAAGGAAGGAGGAGGAGGCAGCGGCGGCAAAGGAGCAGCTGCGCTCGGCCACCTCTCATGGTTACCCATTGGCTGCTGCCGCTGCCACCTGATCACCTCCTCCAGTGCGACTTGCCGGGGCCCTCCTCCAGCTCATGTTGCTGCCTTGTCCCCTGCCCAAAGGGAGCCTGCAAGTGGAGCTGGGAGTTGTAACCGAAAAGCGACAGGGTTGATTTGATCTGTGATTAAATAAGGCCCCACAAACCAAGGGACCAACTTGCGTGACCAGCCAGGTCGGTGAAGATAATGGGTGAAGAGCCAGACCTGGTCTCCTGGTTTCAGGGGTGGCCCTTCTTGCTATTTTTTGTTGGCTGCTGTCTTATAGGCATCCTTAGCTTGTAGAAGCTGCTCTCTGAGTAAATCTTGGAGAGCCTGCAACTCGCGTATGTGAGCATCAGCAGCAGGAACTACGGTCGAAGGCAGGACAGCTGGGAAAAAATGAGGGTGGTATCCATGGGTGGCTGCAAATGGGGTTTGTTTTGTGGATGAATGTATGACGTTGTTGTATGCGAACTCAGCCAGGGGAAGCAATGTAGCCCAATCATCTTGCTGATAGCAGGCATAGCAATATAGGTACTGTTCAACGGAGGGGTTAGTACGCTTGGTCTGTCCATCTGTTTGAGGATGGTATGCTGATGACAAGTGCACCTGGGTACCAAGGCTTGCCAGAACGGGAGGTGAATTGGGAGCCACAATCGGAAATTAAGTGTGTCGGGAGCCCGTGTAGATGGAAAACATATCAAAGATAGAGCTGAGCTGTTTCAGGGAGGCTTGGAACATGGGACAAAATGAGCCATTTTGGCAAACAGGTCCACTATTACCAGAATGCAGGTGTACCCTTGTGACCATGGGAGGTCAATGATGAAGTCCAGAGATACTGTGTCCCAAGGGCTGGCTGCTGTGGGTAGTGGATGTAGGTTTGGCTGGTACGGCCTTGGCTCGACGACAGACCTCGCATGAATCGACGTAACGAGTGACGTCAGCATGGACCCGGGGCCACCAGAACTCCCATGTGAGTAGATGCAGAGTCTTATACTGACTAAAGTGTCCTGCAGGAGGGGAATCATGGGTCAAATAGAGCACGTTGGTTCAGAGGGGCTCTGGAGGAACATCCTATTGCCCTCGGTGCAATAGGAGACCCTGGTGGTTAGCAAAGTCTCGAGATACAGTTTACACTGTGCCAGGAATGCTGGAAACTCCTCCACCTTTCCTCCAAACTTTTCTGGAGGAAGCACAGGGCACTTGACCTGGGCAGCAATGTTGTCCTGGGATTGCAGTTGTTGCTGCTGAAGCTGTGCCACTGTTTGTGTAAGAAACTGCATCTGAGTAAGCACAGCATTCAGCTGACCAGAACTTTTGCTTGCTTCTCTCTCCATCTTGTGGAGAGAGTGTGTGGTGGAAGCAATCTGTCACGTTCCCAGGGGGTTTCAACAGGCAAAAATCCAATAAACCAGTCCAATATCAGTACTCCAGAAGATGCAAAGCAGATATCAAAATGCCAAAGCCAAAACACAAGTCAGAAGTCAGAGTCCAAAGCCAAGGGTCCAGAGAACAAGGTCCAAGATAAGCAGGCACATGAATGCAAGCCAGAGTGTTGACTTGTTGCTTCCACAAACTTCCAAGCCTCTGGGTTCAGATTTTATAGGAGCAGCAGTCATCTAAACACTTCATCCTGCTAAAACTCAGGGCTGGTTGACCTGATGTTCCTATCAGAAGCATTCATGTGATCCTCTGACCTTCGTGTCATGAGTCTTTGCCAAAGCTTAGCCCTCACCCTGGCTATGGTGGAGGGGGAGAATCTGGTGGTGATTCAGCTGTCTGTGCTTCTAATTGCCCAGCATTTTCCTCAGCTGTAATTAATCTCTCAGATTCCAGATCTTCCTCGGCTGAACTCCTGACACTGGAGGAGGTGATCTGGTGTGGCGGCAGCAGTCAATGGGTAGCAGCAAGAGGTAGCTGAGCGCGGCTGTTCCTTTGCCTCCTGCTGCTGCTGCTGCTGCTGCTGCCTCTGCCGCTTGATTGCCTCCTCCAGAGCCACTCATGGGCTCCCTTCAGGCAGGGGACAAGGCAGCGACATCAGATGGAGGTGAGCCCCAGCAGTCGCACTGGAGGAGGTGATTGGGCAGCGGAGGCAGCAGGAGACGGGGGCGGAGGAGCAGCCGCACTGGGCTGGCCCTCATGGCTGTCCATTGACTGCTCCTCCTCCTCCAGCAAGGGACAAAATAAGGGGGTTGTCATATACTTTGGGGGGGGTCGTATACACAGAAAAATATGGTACATAAACTTTGCTCCACTCTGACGGAACCCCTCCCACAAGCCTGGGCACACAATAGGGAGCCTGCTTCAGTATTAGAGGACACGTATGCAATTGTTATTTTGTGATCTTACAACACAATAGAATGGTGGCAATTGCCATGTCAAGTAATTCACGCCCTTGGAAGGATGAGACTTTGCTTTTGTTTAAGAAAATCCTCCCAAAACAAATTAAAAATATACATCAAATGTACTGGTCCACACTAGAACTCAGTCCAAGGCTCACAAAGCATGTGCTCAGCCTCTTCATCACACAAACACTCCCCTTCCCCCTTTCTACTTTTCCTACCCAATCCAGGGAGTCCCTTGAGTACCCGCATATGTGTTAAGGGAGCGATCTAACACTGCCTTCCTTCTCTTCTCTGATCCTCTACTCTCCTCTCTGACATGTTCCTTGGTAGTATCAGGAGGAAAACATATATTTCCCCCCCTCCCAAATCATTGAGACATTTCCTCCTGGTGCTTGTAATGAATATATTGGACGGTAGTGGAGAGGATACAGAGCTTGAAAAGTTCTTTTTAAAAAGCTATATTTACAATTCCAAGATCCCCAAAGTAATTAATTACCATTATTGTTCTTTTTTTTTTTAAAAAAAATAACTGCTTCTGTTACTGAAAAATACATTTTATTTCTACAGTAAGATATGAGAATGGTACAACTGCTGGTCTATAATACAAAACATAGACAAGTAATGAAGACATACACCCTGTAGCTACAGAAGTAATAAAACCAGTTACAGTTACACTGCAAAAGTTTATCCCTTTTATCCCTCGTATTTTTATCATGATCTAGTACATCAAAATATAGTTATGTCTTAGTTACTGCAAGTGTTATTTCAATATTTTTATCGTGCTCTAGTACATCAAAATATAGTTACTGTATGTCTTAGTTACTGCAAGTGTTATTTCATTACCAGTAACTCATGGCTTGGAGCTAATTACCCCAAATTCTGGGAGGAAAAGATCAGATTTCTGTCTTTCCTTCTTACTGTTTCTAGAATGCGGTTGTGCCCTGGCTGGTAAACCACTGCTGAAAGGGAATGGGTTTGAGGGTAAGGTGGTAAATAGATCAACTGAAAACAAACTGCCACCAACCCGAGAGGGAAAAGTCACTCAGCAGAGAGGTGGGTCTTTCTTTGAAATCAAAGACTGGAAGGAATGATTGGTTAGTGCTGGACAAATAGATAATCACCCCAGCCCAGAAACATCTCTCCCAGTCACACAAATTATAGATGGCTTGCGAGATTGTAAATAGAACTCTGAGAGCCAGCAGCTCATTGAACACTATCATTATGCGGCAATACTTTGCTCCATAGCCAAAGTTATTCTGTATTAATTACAGCATAAACAAGGACCTTTATCGGCAAGGGAGTTTCTTTAAGTCATTGTTATAATCACAACCACCATCACTAAAGTTGTGAACGGCCTGATTAGATACAACCAGGTATAAATGTCAAAGACATTATAATATGCTTTGTTGAACCATGGAAACTTTTCATCAATGAAATCAGCAGGATTGTAAGATCAAGGGACGGAAAAGACAAAAAGAAAGGGACCAAAGTGGTCATATTAAATACTTACAAAAGGTACTTCAGCTACAGGACCAGTACAGTCTGCCCGACCAACGCCAATTAAGTAACCATCTATAGAAAACAGAACCAAACAGAAGAATTGGACATTTCTTCCAATCTTGGCATCCGTGAATGACATAGAAGTACCTGGATTTTTCCATGTAAGTATATACCTAGACTAAGCTAGATTCCTTCTCTCTGACAATCTCAGCCTTATTCTGATGCGATCTATTGCAGATTAAAATCAACATGTGAGGATGGGACCATTCTAGCCTGCCTCTGCTTTCCCTTTCTCAGTCTGGAAGAGGGCAACAGTTTGAAGAGAGCATCTCCTCTTCCAGACTTCTCCACATGATTTCCAAATCGTGATTTTCCAGGGTTCCAAATCATAAGGAGAGACTCCAATCATAGAGGAAGTTCTCTTCTTCAGGGTGGCAATGGGAACTGGTAACATGGGCGGGCAAGGCTAATATGCTTTACACAGTCATATGTTTATGTAGTCCACATTAATAATGCTTGCAAAAGACTCTAGAGTTCCATGCAGAAAGATATTTGTGTTTGAGGTACCTATATGGCAAGTCATTTAATCAAATGAAACAGCTGTAAGTGATTTAGCACTCTGGTAAAGAACGTCAAAAACGAAGGGAGTTTTTGAGTTCTCCAGAACTCTTCATCAGATAAAGATGGTATAAAATTTCAGTTGTAGGCAAACAGCCAAAAATTTGGGCCTAATATAATATCCATAGCTTTTGAAATCAGATTTCCACCAAGGCAGAAAGGATTGTGCAGATTCCACATGAAAAAGAGATGTCAGACATATCAATTCACAGGCTCTCCTCTCTGTGTGGACAAAAGCTTGGATTAAATCCTTATGGATTTGTCCGTTGCCTTGGACAATATACAGTGGTGCCTCGCTTAACGAGCGCACCGTATAATGACGAATCCGCATAGCGATCCCATTTTTGGGATTGCTATTGCGGTGGCATAGTGTTGGCCCCAATGGGCAAAACTCGCATAGCGAAGATCAGTAAGCGTTTCGCTTACCGATCTTCGCTTTGCAACACCCACAGATCAGCTGTTCGGCGGTTTCAAACCGGCCGCCGGCCGCCTAAAATGGCCACGCGCAGCATTTTCACGCCCTCCCCTCACTTACCGAGGGCGCGAAAATGGCTGCCGGACCCTGGAAACTCCGCTAAATGTTGAGTTTTGTGCCCATTTGGAACACATTAAATGATGTTTAATGCGTTCCAATGGGCTTCCCCGTTCCATTTAGTGAAGTTTTCACATAGCGAAGGTTAATCTGAAACGGATTAACCTCGCTATGCGGGGCACCACTGTAGTCTAAGCTGGGGGCCCATGCCAAGATCTACATTTGGCCCAGTTCTTGCAGTACTTATCTTAACCCCACGTTTTATATCCCAAATGTGGTTGAAAAGGAATTATAGAAAAATGGGCTCAGTCGGTTCATAACTTTTTAGTGATCTGCTCATGGTATTAACTAAGCCAGAAATTTATTTCTTTTGTTGTATCACACATTTTCTATGAACAGATCAGCCTTTATAATCCAGATATAATTTACCATTTAGGTAAAAATTGGGCATAAGTACAGTGGTGCCTCGCTTAACAGTGATAATCCATCCCAGGAAAATCGCTATTAGGCGAAAACATAAAGCGAAAATAAAAAGCCCGGTGAAAACATAAAGCGAAAATAAAAAGCCCATTGAAACGCATTGAAAACTGTTCAATGCGTTCCAAAGGGCTAAAATCTCACCGTCCAGTGAAGATCCTCCATACGGCGGCCATTTTCGGTGCCTGTATAGCGAGGAATCCGTCCCTAAACACAGCGGGGAGCCATTTTAATTACCCAGTGGCCATTTTGAAACCGCTGATCAGCTGTTAAAAAAACATCGTTTTGCGAAGAATCGGTTCCCGAAGCAGGGAACCGATCATCACAAAGCGAAAAAACCCTATTTAGACCATCATTTTGCGATCGCAAAAGCAATCGCAAAAACGTCGCCGTGAAGCGGATTTGTTGTAATGCGGGGTAATCATAAAGCGGGGCACAACTGTATACGGTAATTTCACTACCCCATAAATTCAATTTCTGAAGAAAAATATTGACATGTTTAATTAGAATGGTATCAGTAAAAATATTTTTGTTTCATATTACATAACCAAAGTCCAGTCTTCTACCTTTCAACATTTTAATTTGTTCTAGGTTTTGGCAGTGGAAGACAGGGGGCGCTGGCTTGCTCTGGTCCGTGGGATCACGAAGAGTCGGACACAACTAAATGACTAAACAACAACAAGGTTTCCTCAGTCTCTGCACATTTTCCTTAATACTTCTTTACTGGTGACTTTCAGCTGAATAAATTCTTGGCATTCTGTGATATTTTAGCAGCTCTTATGTAAATCTTTTCCCTCCACTACTCTCGGGGCTCAGAGCAGCTGCACTTACTCTTCTACCTGTTCCATCCCTCAGTGACAGGGATGCAGTTGACTGAATCGTTCATATCTTCTCCATCACCAAACATCTTTGTGAGCGAAGTACAATCCTCCAGGTGTTGTTCGACTACAACACCCAGCATCCCTGATCATTGGGCTGTCCTTTCAATGGCTGGTGGTAATTACAATCCAACAACATCTAGAGGGCTGCAATTACTTCTCTCTCTTACAATACTTTCCAATTCACATTGACTCAGAAGACAATCGGCACTAAATTTCATGTCACTTGCTGCCACACACACATATACGGGACAGTGGCCTTCTTTATTGTACTATGAAATGCAAGAAAACATGAGACTTGGGACAGTGGCCTTCTTTATTGTACAGTACTATGAAATGCAAGAAAACATGAGACTTACCACTGCTGCTTTGATGGGGGTAAAAATTAACTACCAAGACTGTCACAACAGATGCTATAATCAATATTGAGAAGACAGCAGCAATTCCTAAAGCGGTTGATTTCATCTTAAACATTGGAGGAACGATGGCTATGAAAAGAGAAAGAGAAGAAACAGGTAAGTGATGGCAACCTTATACCCATCCTGGCCTTTATGATGCACTTGCATATTTAAAAGAACAGCTATTAAAATGTATTTGTTTATTCTGACGGGCAGAGGAAATCACTGGAACATTTTAGGTCCATCTCCTGAAATAGAAACACCATACCTATCTTTAGATGCTTCAAAGCATAAATCAAGAACAAAATAATTGCTCATAACAGAGGTTTTTAGAGGTCTTACACAGCAGATTCTAGGGGCCACCTCTAAATGGGCAAAAATGCAGCAAATCATAGGTGGCCAGAGACTCACATCTTTAGACTCATAAAGGTACCTATAACCTCCTAAGACTATATAAATCCATTTTAACTAGGACGTACTTAATTCAGACCATTTGGCAAGATCATGTTTTCCTTGTGTCTATTAGAGTTTATAATTGATCCTCCTCAGTTTGGCTGAATTTTTAGGGATTCTAATGTTTAGGGATTTTAATTCCGTATGTAATAGATTCTGCATTTAATCCTGATAGAGTATTATCACATTGTGATTGCATATTTATGCATAATGCTTCTGAGTTGGCATAATTAATTTGTAAGCCTAAAATAGACACCTGTAACCTTTCCAAGTATAAGGATATGGTGATGCTGCGGGCTAAACCACAGAAGCCTTTGTGTGCTGCAGGGTCAGAAGACCAGCAGTCGTAAGATCGAATCCACGCAACGGAGTGAGCTCCCATTGCTTTGTCCCAGCTCCTCACCAACCTAGCAGTTCGAAAGCATGTAAATGTGAGTAGATAAATAGGTACCATCTCGGTCGGAAGGTAAACCGCCTTTCCCTAGTCATGCTGGCCACGTGACAATGGAAACTGTCTTTCGGACAGACGCTGGCTCTATGGCTTGAAAAGCGGGATGAGCGCCACCCCCTAGAGTCAGACATGACTGGACTAAAAATGTCAAGGGGAACCTTTACCTTTACCTTTACTAACCTTTCCAATCATTTCCACCTCTTCTTCACTTGGTTTTGAAGTAAAGAGGACAATATTCTCAGCAATTAAGCTAATTTTGTGCCTCGCTCTTCCAAGCCCCATACCTCAGAACTGCTGATTTTGTCTTATATTCTCTACTAAGGGTTTGACTGCAATTATAAAGGGAAAACAGGATAGGAGCATTCTTGACAGATTCTTCAAAATAAACACACAAAGAAACAAGTTGGTAGGATATGCATGGATAATAACAGCTTATCAGCAGTTCTTATATAAATTCTTAATCACCCAGTGAGCCTTGTATTCATACTCATTTAATAATACAACAACAATAATAACAAGAACAATAATAGTAGTAGTAATAGAATGAAGAAATGTCTGGATAACTGACACTGCAATTCTAGGGGATGCCAGAGCTGAAAATAAAGAACTGAAAAAACTAACAAAATACAAATAGCTGGCAATTGAAACATCCACAACATTGCTTGTGGATATAAACAAACTTTAGTGGTCCCCATCCTCATCAGGGCTTTGGGAACAATATCAATAAATTTTACACAATCTTATAGGCAGTTGTAGATTTCAAAAATAACATTATCAGAGCTACAAAAAAATGGCAATATTAGGAACAGCATATATACTATGTTGATATTTAACAGATACTTAGGTTTTTGTTTAAAACTTGTATATGTTATATTATACCAGTCAATTTTTTATTGTTTTAGTCTTTTATAACAACAACAACAACGACAACGACAATGACAACGACAACGACGATGATGATGATGATGAATCTTTGAACTGCAGGGCTGGAAACAATAATCAAGTCCAGCCTCTGGACTCAAAGTAGCACAGCGGATAATCGAACTCCCAACTTCTGCTTAAACCACTGAGCTATCCAGCCGTTCTTATAATCCAATAATCTAATGATATAGAACTACTGAGTCGAAAGGGACCCTATGAACTATCTTGTCCAGCCTCCATCAAGAAAGCACGATGAGGAATCAAACTCTCAACTTCTGACTTTGCAGCCAGATACCTAAACTATTGAGCTATCCAGCAACTCTGTGTTAAGAAGTCCCATTTCAATTAGTCAGATGCCTTGTGGGTTACCTTGTGGGCATGGTGGACAGCATAAGGACTCAGCCAACGCAGTCAGGAAGCTGTTTACTAGGCACAAATCCTAACTGATCATTATTTATGTACTCTTCTAATGAAATAGTTTAAACGGGAAGCCAGAATAGATGACAGTATTTTTGCATCTTGGTTAATTAGTGGTATAGGTATGTAGGATTCCTTTTCTTTAAGATTTTTGTCTGGAAGCAAGGTTCCCTCTAAGGTGTGTGCCTGTGTGCATGCAGGCTACTCCGCCTTCCTCTGTGCAGCTTTCTTCCTCCGTGCAGTGATCGTTTTCAGCCCCTTTGGTTCCAATCATGATGGAACCCCACATGGGGGGTTGCGGAGTTGCATGATGGAGAGGCACAGCTGAAAATTAGAGGATACATTGCCTGGAAGTAAGAATACAGTAATTTTAATTGTATGCCAGGAATTAATGATTTGATTTCCATTCAGAATCATGCTTAAAAAGTTGCCAATCTTGGTGCTAGTGTTTCCTTAAATTTCTTTTTAAATTCATTCATAAATCCATCTAAGCCAGGTCTTTTTATTATTCTATAATTTTTAAATTATATCTTGAACGTTTGCATTTTGTGTGCTCTTCTGGCTAGCAAATAAAGATACCATCTCAGTGTGGCATTTATTATTATAGAAAGGTTTGATGACAGGTTTTTTGGGGGGTATTTGCAAAAGTCACTTGTAAGCAATAATGGGGTCCCTGCTCCTTTCTGTTAGCAAAACTTGGAAGGTAAATTGTAACTAGTTAATTGGATTTAATGCCCTCTTCTAACATTACATGACTATTGTAACTTTACTAGGATTAACATATCTCTTTCAGATACACTTGTTCATTTCATTCAACATTCTGGTATTTACTGGATTTAGGTTCTAGAATTCAGGGATGTATAGGGACAAAATCTTTTATTTTATTAAATGCAGTACTGATTCCGATCCCCTTCCTGATCTTGATTTTTCTCTACCTCTGCTACCCCATCCCTAGCTTCTAAAACATCCAGTAGGTCCAAGTATTCCATGTTGCTGCATATAGAGGAGTTCCATTCTGGTTTTGGCTTCTGCTGAACAAGAGAAAGCATTGCAGCTTACGTTGTGAGAAGGAGGCAAAATGTGCTTTATTTACCAACATACCGTTTATGGAGACAAGCAGCACATGCTCCTTGTAGGGCTGGGCCAAGATATTTTGTGGCCTGAGGTAAAGGATGGCAACCTTCCTGCCCAACCAAATTCCATACACCAGAGCCATCCAGACTGCCTACAGTTGTGTTTTCAAACATCCTACCACCTCTCCTCACTGTCAAGCATTTGCTGCCTGAGGCAGCCTTCTCCTTCTGCTTAACGGTGGGACTGCCTCACATCAGATCCTCTTAAAAATGTACACAAACACAAGAGAATCCTATATGAAAAAAGTGTGAATCCAATCCATTCATCATTCTTCAGCAGAGAACTACTGACAATCTTTAAGAAACATTGGCCAGAATCACATTGAATCCATGCAACATAAGTACACAATCATGAAAGCAAGGTTGAAACCCTCTGTCTCGTCATGAAGCTCACCGTGTAACCTGCAACTAATCAGCCTGGCCTACCTCACAGGGTTATTGTGGGGATAAAGTGGAGACAAAGAGCCACACATTCACAAATACATGCAACAAATTAAAAACAAATATTATTTAGTTTGTTGTAGTTGTTTAGTTGTTAAGTCATGTCTGACTCTTCATGACCCCATGGACCAGAGCACGCCACACCCTCCTGTCTTCCACTGCCTCCCGGAGTTGGGTCAAATTCATGTTGGTAGCTTCGATGACACTGTCCAACCATCTCATCTCATCCTCTGTCGTCATTATTTAGGTAGCAAACCCATTATGGTCGTTCTCACCTCCTTCACCTGATACACAATTCCTTTCCATGTAATTAGCTACATGATTATGTCAGGGTTGTGCTAGAATGCCTGCCTGGTTGCAGAAGTCTAAAAGGAAAGAATCCCATCTGACTTAAATAAAAAAATATATTTAGAACTGGGGAATGTGACCAGCTAATATATCCACATTCACTGTCTTTTCCTTGTTGCTCAGATGTGGCCAACACTTGCTGGCAGTCCTTGCACACTCAAGGGAGTTGAATGTTTGCCTGACTGAAGTATCAGTAGCTGCTGCCATCAGAGCAGATATCAAATAGCAAGCCAATAACCAAGTTGCCTGCATCCCTGGGAAGATTTTCAGAGTGTCTGACAGAAGAAGACCTGTGCTACAGTCCTCAGCTGTTACCGTGTAATACGCCCCACTCAAAGGACCAGGCCTGGCCCTACCAATTGGCAGAGTGAGGAAACTGTCTCAAGCAGAAAATGCATGGGTGTAGCCCAACTGCTCCTCCTTAGCCTCCACATTATCTCTGTCTGTAGGAGGGCTGAAGATTGTGTGGACCACACCACCCGACTTTGGGCTTCCTAAGGCAGGCTGCTGTTTTCACACATGGTAGATGATGCTGTCCTGTCACCACTAATAAAATCAGCTACCAGCGTAGGCCGTTTCTGTGTGTGGAATCCATGGAGAACAAGAGAGTACTTGGAGATCCAGACTAAAAAGCCACAGAACAGGTGATCCAGCTACACTCCACATAGCTTATTCCTACTATGGTCATTTTTTTTCTGATCATCATCACTGAGCCTTGGTTGATGGGTTGGTACGCTGGTCAGTGTATGTCAGACACAGGTATGCACTGATGCATCTCCACCTTAACCAGCTAGAGCTGTGCTCTGTGTGGCCCTGAGCAGGCAAGAATGTGCATCCTAATAGAAATGGGTGTTAATTTTGAGGAAGTGGTATGTACACCTTCACCATGCTCTGAGAGTCACT